ATGGCCGACGACTGGTGTAGAGTTCTTTGGAGTGACGAGTCACGATTTTGCATCTTTGGATCAGATAAAATAACCTTTGTCAGACGCCGCCTAACCGAGGAATTCCATTCTAAATTTGTCAAAAAAAAAAAAAAAAAAAAAATCGGGGCAAGCGGGAGGTGGGGGTGTAATATGTGGGGTGCACTCAGTAGCTTTGGTATTGGTCCAATTGTTAACGTTGATGGAAAACTCAATAGTGTAAGAAACATGTTCTGCCATATTTGACTGATCAAATGCTACCTGGAGCTATTTATCAACAAAATTCCCATTCACAAAGCCAAAAAACTAATACAATTTTTTGATCACCATAATATGAATGTCATTGAATGACCTCCACAGAGTTCGGATCTTAATCCGATTGAAAATTTATGGAATTATATTTCAAAAAGAGTTCATGCTGAAAAAAATCAACAAATTTAGCCTAATTATACGATTATAATAAGCAAATATGGCAGAGCATTCCAAATGATTTTTTTGTGCTCACTAGGCGATGTGAAGCTGTAATTAAAAATAAAGGTTACGGCACTAAATAGTGATAAATATTTTTTTGCTCATTTTTATTATAACTTTTTGCTATAAATATAATTATACCCATTCGGTCTTAAACATATTTTGTTGGCAAATTTGAATAATTTAAATTAATCGAGCCTTAAAATTTTTCAAGTTGTACAAAAATATACAATTTTTACATCATTCGAAAGAGATGAATAAACAATAAAACAAATTTATATTGTTTTATTAGAAACATATTCTGAAATGAATAAAACATTAACCATCGGTCTTAAACTTATTTTCGCCAGCGTATATATATATATATATATATATATATATATATATATATATATATATATTATTTTAAATATAACAAACAACGAATGTCTATTATGTTTGGTCATGAGCAGTTCTAAACTTCGTATAGTTGCTTTAATTTCGGGCGAACATAAAGACAAAATTTTTCCAACAATTGGATATTTTTTATTATGCTGTTCCTTGATCTAAGCTTTCGGCTCACCTGTGCCATCTTCAGAGTGGTTATATGGACATTTAAACAAAGATATTTACCATCAAATATGATATTCTGTTATGTTGACATAAAAGATTGCTATGCGACGATAACGTTCGCAGAATAGCATCTACATTGCATCTAGACATATGGTTCTGTGGTTAATATTTCGTTCCCTCACGTGGTATGACGTCATATAACCGCCTCATGAATTTACAACCTGCGTCTGCTATTCTAAAATTGTAAAAAATGTAGGCCTCCATATTGAGTCACCAACAAATTCGGGAGATCTTTTCTTATTAGAACGATTGACTTTTCAGGGTGACTTTTCCTAGCTTCGTAATCACTATGACACTTATCCAACTGTTCAAATTTCTGGTGGAGTGAATTGAGTCAGGATGCTCTTTTTCTTGCAGGCGGTGCCCAACTGACCCTACTATACTGTCCAGTAGACAAAATCTAAAACAAATAACGCGCATCCATGAAATGTATACATAAACATTATATATATATATATATATATATATATATATATATATATAGGTGACGCAGTTTCGAATCTTGTTGGAGAACGCATATTTTTGTAACAAGATTTCTCGATGGATGTAAAGAAATATACTGTTTAATAAATAAATGAAATCAGAGCATCTACTCAAATATGTGTATCCATTTAAAATAAATTTTAAACACATAAATTAATATATATATATATATATATATATATATATATATATATATATATATATATATATATAAACCTTTTGGAGTTAGTGGGTAAGTTTTAGATATATGTGAAGATAAATAGAGAAAAATTGATTTCAGTTTTTCCTGCAATTCGGGTTTTTAGCCAACGGTAAATTAATGAAAGTCTTAAATCTGTGAAAGCACTCAGTGTCTGGGTCAATCTAAAAGTTATAACACCTTCGAGGTGTTCTTTTTAAGCATAAAGAACGCCAACTGAATCGCCACCTTTGCCCAAGACTGAACAGCGCCATCGGCCGTATGATCTTTCTCATTAATATCGGCGAAAATCTCATTTGAAGTTGTGAGAAGACTCTGCACAGAGCATGTATTATCATGAACTTGTGTGAGTTTGATAAGCTACTAACATTGGGCATTGGGGATCTGTTTTTCCCGCCTAACTCACAGTTATTGCCGTGGTCATTGTCATGTTGTCGAAAACTTACTATTATAAAAAATATGTATTATAATTCATAGACTTTGCAATTGTATTATTTAGTTATAAAATTTAGTTATTAAATTTCCCCTCCTCTTATACAAGAAATATTTATTTTGTTAGTACATAAAATGGTTAAACCACATCAAGGCAGAAAAAAGAAACCTTCTGTCTACATACCGCGAGAAAATTCGGCTTCGGCTGCTGTTGATATATATATATATTTGGGGCGGGTTTCATATGTCCAAAAGGCCATCGTTATACAACAACGTCTACACACGGTTAACTTGCCGGTCAATATATATATATATATATATATATATATATATATATATATATATATATATATATATATATATATATTCTCTTTCGATATTTACATTTATTGTTACTGCCTGAGTAGGTACATTATTTCAAGGAAAATGGTTAGTCCACGTTTTTTGTCAATGACATGTTAGCGATGATGACACGTAATTGAGTGAAGTGATAAGTGGATTCATGCCTTTGCCAAACTAGAGTCCCTGATAAAAGAATCTCCATCGCTTCCTTAGAACACCTCGCATTCATTTCCATGGCGTTGTTTTAAGTTATATGTTCGTACAATGTAGAATAAATCATATCGACTTCAACTAAGTAATGACAAACTTGAAGTGCGCCTTTTAACTGTACACATATTTGTTTGAGTCAACAGGACAGAAAACAACCAAGTAATAAATTTATTCTATTACTTTCTCTCTCTCTCTCTCTCTCTATATATATATATATATATATATATATATTCTCCCTATATATATATATATATATATATGTATGTATATGACAGAACGTGAGTGTGTGTGAAAGAAAGAGGGAAACGATAAAGGAGAATCAAATGTGACTCCTTTGAGACAAAGATAAATGTATCCATGTATCGCAATGATCTAGACAATATATATATATATATATATATATATATATATATATATATAGCGGAGGACATATATATATATGTGTGTGTGTGTGTGTGTGTGTGTGTGTGAGCACTATACATCTTTGTAGTATTTATTTATGAAAATTTAGAATGCATATATACATACTTACATAGCCTTGCAAATAAAAAATAAATAAAAAAACTAAAACGGATCATCCGCTAAAAATCAATTTTTAAAAAAAAGAAACTGTAATGTCATTTCTGTAATAGTAGACAAAAAAGAAAGAAACAAAGAAAGAGAAAGAAACAAAGAAAGAAATAAAGAAATAAAGAATGACAGACATAAAAAAGGATAAGAGAAAAATAGAAAAGACAGAAAAAGAAAGAAAAAGGAAAGAACAAAGCAAAAGAAAGATAAATATTCAAAGATATTGTGACATCGATGAGACACGTTGGCAACTTCGGTTGAACATCTCTTATCAAGTCAGGCGCCCTTTGCAAAGCATAATGGTCGGAAAGAAGAAGAAGAAGAAGAAGAAGAAGAAGAAGAAGAATCAATTGGATTAGACTAATATCATAAGACCACTGAAGACTGAATAAATTTACATGAAAAAATTGCATTCAATTTGAAATATATGTGTGGATAGATTGGTAACGGGTAATACTTAGACGGTGAGGGCATCTTAACACTAGCCTCAGTGGTAGGTGTTCAAATTTAATTAAAAATGCCAGGATTTTGAATACTGATTTTAAAAGAACCAAGTTTTCCTTTCGTGAAAAATGGACGCAACATAGTCTTCCTAACATATATCAATATCTCATTCATCCAGGTTAAGCTATACTTTGCCAGAGTGTAATGCTTAATAAGCTAGTCTAAGGGGTCATTGTTAGTGTATTAAGTTTGATTGTTAAGTCTAGTAAATACCTATAACAGATTATCTGAATTCGAATTAGAAAAAGAATCGCATTTCGGAAAGCATCTAAGAAAACGGCTACGTTTAGAAAATTAGACCAAGAAGAACCTTTATGAAGTTCAGTGTCGGTGATATAGAATATAAATATACAAAATTAAAGTATCTCTGATGTTCACTCTGTACAAAGACCAAGAACCACTCGATGTAGAATAATAGAGTAAAAAGTACAATTTATGGGAATATGTGGGGAAGATAACGCTTAACCCTAGACATAACCCAGGTTAAGATTGTAGGGAAGCATTTTCCTGAGAGTCTGTTCCAAAAAGCAGCTGCTTGGGGAGGAAGCTACTCGAGTGGAACTTACATCTCATCAATGGAATATGAAGGGAATGAGGGTGGTTCTTTATAATGGGCGTGGCATAGCGGGTCTTAGCCGCGAAGGTCAAAACTATTGGAACAAAGGAATGTAATTCGTCTGAACACTTTCTATTGAAATGTCGACAGAGCAGGGAGAGGCTCATGATGTTTCGCCTATGGGAAAGAGTTTGTAGGGTGGGAAATAACTCATTATTCCCAAGGAGACGCTTTTGGACTCTATTGGACTCTGGTATATCGTTAGATTGCGAATCCTGAATCAAAGAGACCTCACGTCAATGATTACTGGAATAAAACTATGATTTTCAACGGGAACAGATTCTTTTTTTTTTCACTTAGCGGTCAGTCTAGTTCTCATTAGTTTACTTTCTCCCCACCCACAGCCTTGGATATTCATAGAATGCTATGCACTAAAGCAAAGGGTATTGATTATGAAGCGTATGTTGATATATTAAAAGAAAAATTCGTATCTTGCGTGGGTTGAGTACAGGCTTCTACCCAAAGCCAACAAGTTTAACACGACTCCATCAGATATATGCAAGCATTGGGTATAGAGAGGAATTAATATGTATTAAGCTAAAACTAGGCATAAAGAGACAAAAAGGCAGAGAGAAAGGGGAAGAGAGAAAGGGGAAGAGAGAAAGGGGAAGAGAGAAAGGGGAAGAGAGAGTGAATTTGAAAGAGAAAAACAGAAAAAAAAGAAAAACAGAAAAAAAGAAATAAATCTGAAATCTGAAAAAGAGAAACACAAAGAGACCAAGAGAGAGAGAGAGAGAGAGAGAGAGAGAGAGATCTGAAATAAATAAATTGAGGAATGGAGATTAACTTGTTGAAAGTTACCGACATAGATTGTGAAAGAATAAAGAGAGAAATTGAAATGTTGTGTAATCGAAAAAGAAAAAGACAAACGAAAGGAAAAAAGGATAAAAAGAAGAAAGAAAAAAAGAAAGAGAAGTAGAGTGAAATAAAGAGTAAAACAATCTGAGTGAAAATGAAGGCAAATCAGATAGAAAGAGGGAGTGAAAGAGAAAAAGAGAAAGAGAGAAATTCCAATAAATTATTGAAAATAGATGCTTCTCTGTTTTAATGGTTAACAGAGTAGCCAAAGAGTAATATAATTGTGTATTGATCTTGATTCTCACTGGGTGTCTTCCTAATGTAGCTTCGTTTAAAACTGAGGTAAGTTTTGTAAATATTTATTTTGAAAGAGAGGGAGTGAAAGAGAATAAGTAACTGAGCGATAGTATGTGTGAAAGCATAAAACAGAGAAAGAAAAGAGTGAGGGACAGGGCTTGTATGTATGTGTGCATGAGTGAGAGAGAGAGAGAGAGAGAGAGAGAGAGAGAGAGAGAGAGAGAAGGAAAGAGAAGAAGAGAGAGAGAAAGGGGGTATAAGGTGAGTAAAAGAGATGATGAGAAATAATAAGTGGGCGTTTTTTGATTGATTATCAGCAATGTCATAGTGCGCATGTATCAAATGGCTTAGGATAATTATTGGATTGTATATATGCGTGTGTGTGTGTTTAGGTAGTAGTACATAATTAATACAGGGTTGATTAAAAACGACAAGCAAGAAATATTTTTTCGGTTTATTGCTAAATTTTCTTCTTTGCTTGCAAGAAAGCGTATGTTTGAGACCATTGATTGTACAATCAGGGGTCCTAAACATATGCTCTCTTGTAAGCAAACGTCCAGTTGTTGAAGAACAAAAAAAAAAACAAAAAAAAACACATTTTCAACAATGATTCTGGTAATTCTTGTCTTTTAATTTAATTAATTTGATTTGATTGTCTTCTGTTTGACCAATAATCCTTTCCCAAATATCATATTTGGACAGTTTTTTTGTGAAGTGAGTCGGGTCAAGAATTCTTCAGCAATCCGTCATATCATATATATACAGGGTGTATCAAAAATACCTTTACAACCTTTGGGGGCGGGTTCATCACACCAAAACGAGGACCAAAGTTCATATAAAGTTCATATATAAGATGTACGACATGCTAGGACCATTTGACGTGTGGTGATACCTGGATCGTCTCTGACAGTCTGTAGAATGTGTTCTTCCTAGTCATAGTTTGTTGTGGTACGGATCCTGTCTCAGCAATGCAACGATAAACAGCAGCAAAGGTTGGATGACTCGGCTGCCTTCGGTCTGGAAACGCAATCTGATACAGCCGTGCAGCCTCGCATCCATTACCATTTGTACAGCCGTATGTAAAAGTCATATCTGCCTGCTCATGATATGAATACCTGGCCATTGTTAAACGGAACACTTCTCAATTAGTTCACAACTACACACGTTAAATGTTGAAGACAGGCTAGCCACAAATATACACGAATGACAAATGTAACCTAGTCTACATAGCAACACGGCACCATCTTCCGTCAACTTACCTTATAACTCAAAAACGAAGAATTTGCGGACACGTGTTCATGAGAACTTTTACCCTCATTTTGGTCTGAGAAAGCCACCCCAAAGTTTTCGAAACTATATTTGATACACCCTATATATATATATATATATATATATATATATATATATATATATATATATATATATATATATATATATATATATATATATATATATATATATATATATATATATATATATATATATATATATATATATATATATATATATATATATATATATATATATATATATATATATATATATATATATATATATGATAAACCCTTTAAAAGTAATCATTTGTCGATGGTATTTCACCAGAAATTTTTCCCTTTACAACATTAAAGATGTCTTCGACAACTTCTTACTCAGGTAAAAAGGAAAGTTTTCGAATTCGGAGTTTCTCCAATCTAAAAATTGGCGCATCACATATTTCTTAGGTTCAATTTTGACTCTGCGTCCCATTAATTATTATTTATTCAGATTTCGTAATTCTTTCTAGTTTTGTTGTGTTTGTTGCATATTTTCAATAACAATACATACCTATTTGGAGTTATTTAAATTTACTATCTAGTCATTGTTTATATTTATTTACAGATGTTCATATATGTACACATAAACAAATATTTATTGCTTATATGTTTTCATGTGTATCTATATAGATGTATGCGTTTTAAGGGAGGTACAGCAAGTGGAATTCAGAAGTTGACTTTGCGTCACGTCACATTGGCACGCATGTTCACTGAATGTTACATTACTTTCATCAATGTCCATGCAACAAAACTGTTACTCTCATTCCCAACCTTGACAGGGGCTAATTATATGAGAGATATTGTGCGGGTGTGTGGGGAGCAACAGAGAAAGAGAGAGAGAGAGAGAGAGAGAAGAAGAAGAAGAAGAAGAAGAAGAGGAAGAAGAAGAAGAGAGCGAGAAAGCAATAAATGAACACATTCGTAGAAGTTGGGCACCCGACTTGTTCCGTAAATGGTCATTGCACTGAATAACAGAAATCGGATACTCGTATGTCTTGCAAAGAACGGGTGATATATTGGAAAATAGGATGTAGAAAATAGCAACATGCGACTAGAATATCAAAATGATTATCAGAAAGTCTCAAAGTTCTGGCAAAATGACTCAGATTTGTGTCGTTTTTTTAAACTTTTCACCGCCCTTTTAACGTAATTTCGAAGCTATGGCCTTTGTTTACACATATTCTGTGTTGTCGGCATATCAGTTGATTATCGACTTTTACAAAATAATAATAATAAAAGAAGACATTGTCTTATGTGTGAACCTACCAAATCTATCTCAGTATGTATGTACAAGTGTATATATTGTAATCTGTTCATATTAATCTCTGTTGTTATTACCATTCAGCGTGGTTCGCTTTATCCCTGGTTTCACTCAACTGCGGTCAATTCCAGAAATAAACAAATAAGTTTTACTTAAGAATTGTTCCAAAGTGGAACACAGTTTAATTTTTTTTTTTGTTTAAATATTACTTACGTTGGTTTTTTCAAAATATGACTTATGTAGGATAAAACATATTTTCATAGTGTCAAGTCACCTGTGTTTTGTTGATAAGGTAGAGTGGTGTGGGATAATTTTAATCATTGGGGTAATTTGGGTCACATTTGATTTTGGTTAATTTCTCCTAACTCACTTGGTTTCACAGCAAGCTACCACCATTATGCCTCTAACCTTGTCATAAAACTGGAACAATTGCATCATCCTTTTTGTTCTTGGATATCAGAGAGGAAGGGCCTATTTTGACTCAGATACGTTTATTTTTACTTGTAAATCAGACCTTCCCTTGAAAATCCAGAATTGTCAGAAATCAGGTTCAGATACCAATTCTGCATGGGGAAATTATCGAAGTATCCAAAAGTATACCAACCAGTTGAGTGGTATTGGGCGAAATGGAAAAACTAAATTTGGTCTGATTGGGTAATTTAGGTCATTATGCTATCTAGGAAATGGTGTAAACTTATGCATGTTTAGCCTCAGTTGAATGAAGTTTAGTGTTTTGAGATTAATTTGTATTGTTAAACGAGAAAATGTTGCTCAGATGATGATACAGGTCCCTTTTTTCTATTTTAGAATGCCTCTGATATACAAACATAAAATTGAATCGTATAGCCCAGATGAGCTGCAAGCCGCAATTAGCAAGGTCCAGAATGATGGTGCAAGTATACGTAATAATGCAAAGAGTTTTTTTTTATTAGCAGAGAAATACTGAGACTTTGGGTCACCAAGAAAGCAGTTAAAGCTGAAGTTGGTAGAATGCCGATATTGACGGACCAAGAGGAGGCGCTCGTAGTCGTTGCTCTTGAAAAGTATTCTGCTCTTGTTTGGCTTTGCGGAACTAAAGAAATAAAACTGATGATAAAGACTTATGTGGGAAAGAAAATAGTGTTCAAGGACAATTACTCTGGCAAGGACTAGATGATTTCATTTTAGACAACGCTGGGGAGATCGGATTCGTTTAAGAATGCTGGAAGTCCTCACCAAAGAAAATCACAACCAAAAATCTCTTGGTAAATTTTTCAATATGTTCTACGAGGTTTATCGACTCGAAATTGCCAAGAAGAAACGCAAACGTGTGCAGGAAAATGACGAAGAAGTACTAACAACTTCAACTGTCTTGCGAAGGTTTCAAGAGGAAGCAGAAACAAGAGAGGCAAAGCAGAAAGCAATAAGTCTCACAAGGCTTTGGTTGATGCTATAGAAAATGAAAGTCAATATGAAGAGCAGGAAGGCAATGAAGACAGTGAAAATGAAGATAACACAGCTTGTGTTTTGTGTAGGGACATTGTGGAGAACCTATATGCAGAAGGGGGCATGGGCTAATTTGTGATATATGTGACAATTATGTGCGCCCTAAATGTGTGCCTAGAAACATGGGTTTGGAGGCTGAGTTTTACTGCAGTAAAGGTTCTGCCTAGCTGTCATGGAAATGATTCCATAAAGAAGCATTTTTAGAGCTTATTTGTGTTATTCCTGTTGAAAGTAACCAGTTCTATTCATGAATTTCCATGTCAAAGTTTGTTATTGAATGTTTTCTTACCTCACCCAGATTACGCCACGTAATATTTCGAAACAATAACAACAGTAGTTGTTGTAGAATGGCCCACCAGTAGGAGAGGAAGTTATTTTGTACATTTTGACGTGCATAAATATGCCTGAAATAACCCATTTACAACTATCAATAGGATTTACATTATTATGACTCAAATTGAAAAACAGGCCCAAAATGAGCCAAATTACCCCTCCCCATATATGTGTATGCAGGAGGGGGTGCTACTTAAAACTAAACAACGAGCATTATAAGATAGCTTATATATTTTGAAAAAATCAACACAGTAGATCTATCTATCTATCTATCTATCTGTCTGTCTGTCTGATTATAGTGGCGAATCCTTGTTCAGAGCTAACCACATTTTCAGAAGAACAGAACTAGCGTGTCATGAGGTTTTTAATTCAGAGTATCTATCTATCTCCTATCTAAAAAGGAGAAAGTGAAATGAAATATCTGCTCGCGGATGCTTACATTAAGTGCCCTGAGGACAATTGCTACACTGGGCGAAGTGGGTGGCTGCTGGAAGTCCCTTTTCCTGGCAACAGTGCTCTGCACCATGCCAAACAAGCAGGAGAACCCAGTCATGGCTTTCAGACTATTTCTGCGGCCACATCACTCCTTACATCTGGCCACCAAACTTCCCAGACTGCGACCCCCCCTTGATTATCATGTGTGGACCAACAAACTCCTGATAACACTAGAGATGAACTGAAGGCAAAGATGATAGCAACATTCAACAACTTAAACAAGGAGACCATCCAGAAAAAATTCTTACAATCTAAAAAAACATTTTCAGGCTTTAAATAAGCTGAAAAAGGTTGATAAGCTGTAAAATAACGAATCAATTAATCTGCTTTTCTTGTCTTCAGTAAGGTTTGTGAGTGTCGTATTCTCCAAACCTTCTTTTCTCATTCAAAAATTTCATCTGCTTCTTTCTAAATCTAAGTATGTATCCTTTTTCTTCTCATTGTCAGTAGAACTTCCTTGTTGTTCACATGCTCCGGCTATGGTATTTTTTCTCCGTATCTTTCTGTATAACCAAATCTCTGTTGCCTCAAGTCCGCTTTTCATGCGGTGGAGAGGATTTATTGCCGTATAGGACGATTGATATTACATGGGAAGTAAGCGAATAAAATAATAAATGTTTCCTTACGAAATGGGTTGAGAAAAACCCGGTCATATAACATTGGGAATAAAATGTGTAATATTATATCAAGAATAGAAATTAGCGATTATGCTTATATCCTGAATAACATAAGCAACTAAACGAAAGCTCCTCGAAGATCATGACAGCAGGCAAGCATACTAGGAAATTCCTACTAGCAAACTATCAACCCAGAAAAATGTATCCTTCGACAGGGATCGAACTTGCATCTTCATACATACGTTCAATCACTGCCGGGTGATAAATTGTCCCGAATATAGACGAAAATACATACTGTTTAATAAATAAACATGTTGCGTCTATTTCAAATAAGAAATTTCCACTATAATAACGTCTGAATTAATATATATATATATATATATATATATATATATATATATATTCATGAATCATTCATACAAAAAACAAATATAGAGGTTAATGATTTAAATGGCAAGAATACTTCGTCGCAAACAATATAAATAAGATACATCAACCCCAAACCTGTATATGAATGATACTCTCGCCATTTAAATCATTAACCTCTATATTTGTTTTTTTTGTATGAATGATTCATGAATTTATAAATTATAAATACCTTTTTTAATATAAATATATATATATATATATATATATATATATATATATATATAGAGAGAGAGAGAGAGAGAGAGAGAGAGAGAAAAAGTGAAAAGAATTGAGGAAAAGTCAATAGAGGAACAGGTTTCAGGAAGACAGAAGATGAGATGGTGACTGACGTTGAATCTAAATTTTGGAAGATTGCCCGTGGCAGAAAAGAAACTTGCAAGAAAGTCACAACAGAACAGACAGTTACGTCTAGCTATTTCAACAGTAAAATGGTGAGACCAAGTTACCAATCTAGTAGCACACTTAAACTGACAGAGGTGAGAAACTATGGAGAACAGCTCATCAGAACAACTGGCATGAAAATATTTGTAAAAAAGGCGGAGGGAAGTCACGTCACGACGGTAAGAAAGTGACTGACATCGAGATGCAACGTCAGAATCGATTACATTACAGAACCTTCTTTGAATTTTGCCAAGAATCTCTATTTATATAGTAGGATTATCTAACTGTATAATGCCAGCAGTATTCAATGCACAGACGACTGATAGATTTATAAATGTGTAAGAGGGATTCTGACTAGAAGGCCTGACACAGTAAACCAACTTGAGGTATACCTAGCAATCGATTCAATACAATCGCTCCACATCATGTCAGTGGAAAACGTGGGACCAAGAAGCCGTAACTCCTGGAGTTTAGCATCAGCCATGTTTATGGCAGTCAGGAAAAGTTCTCTGTGGTGATTAAATGAAAGCAGTTTTGTTTTGAAGGCGTTAAAATTTACAAGCCATTTCTTGCCTGAGTTAACCACTGACTGGAGGTCCTTTTTGAGAGCAGTTGCCTGGTTTACTTTGTCGCATCTTTCGGACTTGCTATTGAACAGCAGTTAAGAGTTATGTTATTTGGATAAATAACTAGCTGGGAACTGATAATATCGGAAAGGTTGTTGATAAATATCAAAAATATCGTAGGTTCGAGGATAGAGACATGGGTATCCCTGTATTAATATGAAATGAACCGGAAGCGTGTTCATTCAACACGACCTTCATTATATGGTTACTTAAAAACGATTGGATTAGGCTAAATATTCATTCTGAAAGGAGGTCGTGTGAAATAACATGCTTAACCAATTCGGCGTTGATT